AGTGGGACTATTTTTGTAATCAACCATCTATAGTTAGTCTTAACCTAACCAAGATTGAGGGTTATAAATGGTAAAACTAACAAAGAGATTTATATATACCAATATGCTAATGCAATTCGAGGGACTAACATCAAAATATGAACATTTGAGGGACTAATACACAATAGCTATGATTTAAGGGACTAATAGAAGCGAGATCATTATTCATATTCAAAACAGTCACCTCGTCGAAGTGGTGAGGGCTTCTCTGGGGCAATTCGCAGCCACCAAGCTCTGGATCGCCGTGGGTTGCAGCAAATGAGATAAGGCTTGAATCGAGTAACGTCATTGTTGGGACTTCCATGAAATTTTCGGTGCTAGTGACGACAGTGTGTTGTGGGGAATGGGAGGAATTTTGGGATAATTTCTTCATGGCCTTGGATAATTTATCGACTAGGTTCTCATTGGAGAAGTAGGATCTATGGTTTGTGGAGGGAGATGGTGATGAGGAAAGATTGGGGTTTATTTTTTTTTCCTTTTTTCAAGAGGGTGTATGAATATAAGGATAGCATGTTGGTCAGCTGTTCGATGAAATGTGCCAACAAGAATGCGCAGTTGACAACAGCTTTTGATGCTTTGTTGGCTAATTTATGCAAAGAAAGGGGGTACAAACGTTGTACGGACTTGACCCGGATGCTAAAAGCTTATGCAATTTTTATACATGCATAACTTGAGGATTGACCATAAACGTGTTTGCAAATAATTGTGTCCTCGTCATATTGTTGTGTGAGAAAGAAAAGAAAGCAAAGGATGCATATGAGTTGCATGATGACCCGGTTGAGTAAGGCTTAGAAGCAGATGTGTAGAGTTACGATAGGATGAATCCTCGCTCTACATTGTAAACTCCATGGGACAAATAACGCGCTTAACGTGAAGACTTCTTGATGAACATATGTATAATATGTTGATCAAGATGCTCGCGGGGCTGGGAGGATTGATCGTGCAGTGAAGTTATGTGGTGATAGTAAACGGGCATTCTTTGTAAATTCATTTCTCTTCTCTTATCAGCTCAGGCTGTGATTTGATAATAACTCCTCCTGTTTGGGGGGACAATTACACGAAGCAGACACATGCTGATACATAAAATAGGGATACAAAATGAATTTCGTGAAGATACATTTCACCTCATAAATTGATGAAAACTTCTCCTATTTGAGAATTACGATTCCATGATCAAAACAGTAAAAATACTTAGTAGAATACTAAAACAATTTCTTGTAGATACATTTCACCTGATTTCCTACAGGTAGCGTCTGATACCTTGAAGTTTATTAGCACAATACTGTTTTCTTACTGATCCCTCTTGCTCAACAATTTGCCAAATAAAAAGACTCTACATTAGGTTTTGGTTAAGTAGAGCCAAGACAATACAAAGACATATAACAAAAAAATTATTTTATACTATCGTGAGATTCGGTACCTAAGCACAAATATGAAGGAAATGAATGCGCAGAACCATAGTCATATCTACTCCAATTGCTAGAAAAAGAAACTTGCTCTCCTTGGATACATAAGGTAGCGTCTGATACCTTGAAGTTTATTAGCCCAATACCGTTTTCTTACTGACCCCTCCTGCTCAACAATTTGCCAAAGAAAAAGATTCTACATCAGGTTTTAGTTTAAATAGAGCCAAGATAATACAAAGACATATAACAGAAAAATTAGTTTACACTACCGTGAGATTCGGTGCCTGAAAAACAAATATGAAGGAAATGAATGCGTAGAACCATGCAGTCATATCTACTCCAATTGTTAGAAAAAGAAACTCGCACTCCTTGGGGTACATAACGGAGCACCATTTGGTGTCTATAACGAAAAAGAGTGCCGGTGCAAGTGATTGCATTGCTGATGATGAATGTACAAATGCAGCAATCTGTCGTTCCATTACGACAAGTAGTTAGAAATAATAGAGTAAAAAAGAACAATTTTATTGGTTTATTAATGCATATGATTAAATATCTTATATATATATATATATAGTATATATCCCTATATTATATATATATATAAGATAACTTATGTTCAACTTAAGTGGACGTCCACATAAGTTTCTTATAGTCATTGATGATCACATGATTGAGCTACATTATGGATGATTCGCTTCTGTTGAACTTGATCTATATATTCTAAAACCCTAACATACCAAATTTGGGGTGAACCGATCGTGTTTGACCCCCCATCCAATCGTATCAATTTTTAACGGTTTCGAATGAATAGAATTTTTTACATGGCTCGACGGAGGGTCAAACCATGACGGGTTCACCCCAAATTTGATGTGTTGGGTTTTAAAATATGTAGATCAAGTTCAACGAAACGGATCATCCACAATATAGCTCAATCAAGTGATCATTAATGACTAAGAAACTTAGTGGACGTCTACTTAAGTTGACATAAGTTTCTCTCTCTCTCTCTCTCTATATATATATATATATATATATATATATATATATATATATATATATATGAGATTAATGGGTATCATATGTCAAGGAGGAGATTCCCTCCTTGACAATGATGAAGCACAATCTCCACCAAGTAAATAAAGTAGGAGAGAGAATTTTAAATGATGGAGATTGTGTCACTTCATTGCCATGGAGGGAATCCCCTCCTTGACATATGATACTCATTAATCTCTCTCTCTCTCGCTATATATATATATATATTATATATATATATAATATATTATATATATATATTATATATATATATATATATATTTACGCAACTCTTAACACAGAATAGATTATTATTTTCTTGCAACCCTTGAAAAAAATATATATATCTGTATCTTTTTCAAAATATTACATGAATTAGAAAAAGGAGTAAGTTGACTTACGAGGTCTCCTACAACAAGAAAGACCAGGTAGACACGATGTAATTGTGCGTTTTTTTATCATCAGAACCATGTAAAAGCAGAACATGGCTAAGCTCCAAATAACTCCAATAAACGTTGCCAAAATCATAAACCTTTATAGAGAAAACCAATTAGTCAACTTAGTTACATATTCAAAAGTCTTTATCATTCAATTGATACAAAACAATAGCAAAGAAGTATCTACAGAAGCCAACAAAACTTCAGTGGAAATTACATCTAAATTTATATTCTAGATTATATATAGTTATCTATTTGCTTAGAGTTTGATAATGCTTAGAGTTTGATAATGATTTATATTCTTTTATTGACCATGCTCAAATGCACAGACTAATCGATTGTGACTCTCTTTAATTTATTTGCTACAAGCCAATTTGTTATGTTAGCATTTTTATCCTCTATCATTAAAGGGGATATAGCCAGAGAACTCCATTTAGAGTTTTCTTCTTTTTTTTGTTTTTTCCCTGCTAGATAATTGCATATTGTTTCTTTGCCGGACATCTTCCAAGACATAGTAGAATCAAAAAGGCTATCAATTTCTAATGATCATTATCGAAGAATATGAGAAATCATTTTTCCTACTGCTTGTTGGAGTTTGCTAATACTCTCTTCTATGATCACTTACGAATATGGTGCTCCTCAAACAAGCATATGCTTCCAAACTCATGCTAATACTCTCTTCTATGATCACTTACGAATATGGTGCTCCTCAAACAAGCATATGCTTCCAAACTCAGAAATCTTACTTATAGTAGGTGAATTTTGCATATGACAGATATGATTGCTATGGTCCTCTCCATGTCCACATTCTCGTATATTATCTGTCCAAGTTCGGACCTCTCTTCTAGTTCTTAGAACTCATAAAGTAAAGTAGTATCTTTGTGTTTATTGTCAACATCCTAATATACTTATCCATTCTAAATAAGGCTTCTTGCCCTATTTTTACTTAAAAAAACATTTTTATCTTCTAAAAGCAAAAAGGTAACTGTCATATTATTATTTTTATGTCAAAAATAAGCTGAATAGAATTTTTTATTAAAAAAAGATGTAAATCACTATAACTGAAAAATAATTTTAAATAAAATTATAATCTCACAACCTTTGTCTTCTATACTCCATATCAAAACCTGCTCCATATCAAATTCTAGCAAGGTCCCAAACTTTCTAATCTGGACTAAAAAGATAATTCAAATAATCTTTGTACCTGTGTCCAATCTGTACTCCTCTTCAATGTTCTGGATATTGATTTTCAACTTACATTAGGTGTAGGATGAAATCTTTTTATGGAACGAATTAAATGTTAGAATTATGATATACACGCATCATTAATATTTATATTTCTTAAAGAAAACAACGTTATCAAATATTTTTCAACGAGTTAAGAGGACTAATTTTTATTACTCTTATAACAAGTCCTTTAGCCGCTATTACTAACACTATATAAAGACTTTGGAGAGAAAGTACTAAAAAGGAACTGCATGAGTAAAACATACTATTAAGATAAGATTTGTGAGTAGCAAACATAACTTACCAAGAACCTTTTCCACCCAACTTTTTAAATAACGTCAATTGCATGTAGGGAGACCAAACAAAGCTCATAATTTTGTAGCGAGCGAGATGAGGTTCCAATATTAAAAGAAATACGATAAAAAAAGAGTTTGCAACTTAAATCGGTGAATAAATGGACATACAGAAATATATAAAACACAAGCAGCATACATGATTGCAAGACCACAAAGCAAATAATAAAAGAGGGCATACCCAAAAACATGGAGCTGCCTAAGTCTGGATGCTGACATCAATAGCATAAATGAGGTAAGGGAAAATATTCCTGCAGCATTTTCAACACCAAACTAAATGGTGTACCTGGACGTCCACATTCGTTACAGTATATTCCCTGCAGCATTTTCAACACCAAAGCATAACACTGAGAAAACGATATTTTAGCAAAAATCACTATCCCCCCTCTTTTAAGTGGAGTTTTTAAGAAGTTAAGCGGTATTATGGTCTTTTTAAATAATGTCAATTGCATGTGCCATGTCAGATATCATGGTGTTAAGTTTGGCTTTTTCAGATAAAGTTATTGGTGTTTAGTGTGATTTTGAAAGTTATGGGGTTTTGATGTAAAATGTTGAAAGTCTGTGGGAATTTATTGTAATTTACCCTGAAATCATATATTAAAATTTTAAACTTGTCAAGTTATATTAAAATTTGGTTTACTTTTTGAACTTTATATAAATTCAGTATTTTGTTTACACTAATTTTTTTATTAATTGTACTGGTTTTTTTAACTAAATTTATTGCATCAATTTTAAATTGATAGTGAAATGTATAAATTCATTTTCTCAGTATGATTCTATTGAACAATGACGTATGCCCTGCAATATTACCTATCTCCTAAAACAGAATAAAAATTTTAAAAGAATTTCAAAAAAAGAATTTCTTGATATAAATAATTATATAGTTTATTTATATTTTCTATCACATTTATAAATACAGAGAATAGGAAAATCAACATTTCATCATTTTACCACAAATTTCATTTTGTTTCTTGCTATTCAAACAAGCAAATGAACCTCCTTTCTTTTTTTCCTTTTCATTTCATTTCATTTTCCTTCCTTTCATCCAAAACAGACACATCCTACTTCCTCCTTTAGCAGTGGAAGCGGGGGAATAGAGTGAGAAATGTAACAAGGAAATAGAGCGAAGGAATTCTTCGTTAATATGTTAATCCGAGAGTCGCAGTTCGAGCTTGATTGTAGTAGCATTGAAGCAAAAGAGGAAGCCCATCCAAACCAGCATCAGCGTATCCAAAGAGGAAGAGTGGACTCAGCCCTTGAGACTTAGTTACATGTCTCTCTTTAAGCTATTATTCTATTAATACTTGCTCATTTTTTACAGCACTCAATCGTTACTCTACAAATGAGGGTATTGTAAAGGAGTATCAAGATGAGCATTTTGTTAACAGTGGAACTTTGTACGATAATGTGTCACTACTGCGAAGCAAATTCAAATGGGTCGAGTTTTGCCTAAAGGCAGAAAACAAAAACATGGCCACCCTCACTCCTACCCTAATTCTGCCTTTTAATACACAACTTTACATCTAGATATCTTAATATTTATTTACTTATTAGGATCTATTTTATATACTTTTTTATGGTAATTTTTTTGAACTCCACTACTGTCTTGAGCATTAAAACATAGAATCATTTTATGTGGTTGCAAGTTGAAGAAGCTAATAAGCTTATAGTCTAAACATCATTTGTTCCTATTTGATTTGCTTGCACGTTAAAACATATGCTTTAGGAGGCTTAATTACTCTTGTTTTTTCTCTCCCTTTTATGGTAGTCACAGCAATAAAGCATATATAGTGCTATTACATGAAAACTAGCAAAAGAATGAATGCATGTGAGTTTGAGTGTTTATGGAGGTTTGTCATGTGCACTTGATGTGGGCAAGCCCTCTCTACTATTCGATTCCTGGCAGGATCTATTTCCAAGCGATTCTCTTGCTATTTTAAGCATACTTCTAATAAAGTAGGCTCAGACAACTGGAACAAAAGGTTCCAAATGCGTGTAATTAAGATGCTCATTTATTAAAGTATATATATATNATTTTAAGCTTATAGTCTAAATAGTTAAAGTGTTTTCTTGAAGAAGAGGAAGAGGAAAAGGGTGGGGGGGGTTGTTGGGAGAAAGAAAAAGTACAAAGAATGGACATAAATGGGTTTTTTAAGCTTTTTCCTAGAATAACAAGAACCCTTAAGGACATAAGCATATGAGAGAACAGGGAGTGCATGCATATGCTTCTAGCAGTTTCTTAAGTTATTTCGATAAAGGTACAAAGAATGGACATAAGCGAGTATATGAAGATTTTTCCTAGAATAGCAAGAACCCTTAATGAGGATAGTAAAGCACATGAGAGAACAGGGAGTGCATGCATATGCTTCTTGCAGTTTTTTGGGTTATTAGGATATTTTAGCTCAATTGAATTTGGCATGAGAGCATACTATAGTGAGGTTGATGACAACGTGACTTTGTATTATTTGGCCAAGAGTTAAATGGATATGGAAGAGTTCCAATTGGTTGTGCATACATAGTATGGGAATAATGATAAATGTTATCTGGATTCTAATGCAATTAAGAATCCTAACTTTTATAGAATTCCTTGCTAACAACTATTAGCAAGATTAAACATTTATAATATGCATGAGCCCTGTGATGATTTTCTGAACCACGCGAGAGTTATAGCAGAGAGACAAAGGCTTTTCATATTACCTGTAGCAAAGCCACATCTGGTCAAGGAGGTTTTCGATCAACTTTTGGTTGGTAATTATGGGCTCTCTTTTGTTCCTTTGTTTGAGAGAGATTGTATAGAGATTATCAGGATGTGTTAGGAATTGAGTGATTGAACGATCTCCATATTATGTTCCTTACGATTTAGTAAAACTGTTTTCTTCCTTCGCCTGTGGACGTAGGCTACAAGCCGAACCACATATATCCGCGTGTTTTTATTTTCCCAATATTTTCCATGCTTTCGTGTGATTAATGTATCAGTCTATTCCTAGGTTTTGTCATATCACCTCCCTAGTTGAAATCTTGTTAAAATGGGGGGGAAATACTCTATTTAATTTAACTTTTTTGGTGATGTTCCAGTTAAACTCTCTCATCGTACCCACTGAGCTCCCCATATCCTATTAATAAATACCTTAATGTAAACCTACTTTTCACTTTATCTTCTCTAGTGATTCTCCAATGTCTTCCTAATGGGAATATATTCGATGTAAATTTGGGATTAGAGCTTTAAAAAATTCTTCTGATAAGACAGTGGAGAAGATGAAGTGCAAATTAGGTTTTATTAAACAGATTTGGGGAGCTTAATGGGTATGTCAGTTAAATTGGTTAATGTGTTTGGACTTGTATGAAAGGAGTATAACAAACAAATCACCAAAAAAATTGAAGTAAACAAAAATCCCCCCATTTCAATCAATTTTTTATTACAGGGAGCTTATTTCAACATCCTAATTGGATTTAAGGGGCTTGAGATCAATTTTAAGATTTGGTTGGGGGGTATCAAATATTAAAGATTTTAAAGGGCTTAAGCTCAATTTTAATGAGGGGGTCTAATATCAAAATGTTGAAGATTTGGGGGGCTAATATCACAATAACCCTTTTTTGAGGAATTCTTGCAATTATTACTAGACTTGGTAGCATGATATTATACCGTTTTGACAAAAATGGAAAACTGAGGATGCAACATTTTATACTTTGAGTTCCATGAGTTGATTGTTTACTCTCAACATTAGTTTTGGTTAAAAGGAAAATGAGTCATAAGGGCCGCGGGCATGCGAGGTGGCCTGCATTTTACTATTTTTAGGGTAAAGGTAGTGGTACTTATTTAATTATTGGGAAAATTGCTCGTAGAGAGCAAAAACTAAAACGTTATGCATCCAAACCCTTTAGAAAAAGTCAAGAGTCTTAAAACCACCAAGACCTAAAGATATGTTCACTTATCCTCTTCAAACAACTTTCCAGCTCACATTTATTTTCCTCTTCCTTTCTCGCCCATCCCTTTCCACGTATTCTCTTTATCCACCTTTCATTCTTTTCATCTTCTCTCACCCAAAATAAATGGAACTATATTAAACCGAAAGTCTTTTTGGGTGTCCCATTGTTCTCGCCAACACCATTCTCATCAACACCACTACCGCCTTCTTCTCGCCACCAGCACATTGAGCTAAATATTTCTGTAGTCATGGCAAATAAAGAATTCTTAATAATTTTCTATTATTCCCTAATATTAATATGCTAAAGTTTCAAGATGATTCTGTTTGAATTTGGACTTCATTCTCCTCATTGAAAGTTTGGATAATTTTGGGGCTTTTTGGAAAGACCCATACGGGTTTCTCTCAAATCTCTCTCTTGTTTCTTCCAGGTGCTACAAACTATTTTTTATATACTTTTCCTTATAGATATATATATGTTTTCATAGGACAAGAGTTATTGGGATCAGAGTATTTCATGGTTTGAAGAAGAAAATTGAATTTATTTCTCTTTATTTAAAATTTAGGATCCGACATGCAAGATAAGAACATGAATCTTAAGCTAGAATAAGCTCCCAAATAAGGATCTAAAACGCAAGACAACAACACGAATCTGACACTAATTCGAAAAACACCATTTCACACTAGCAGAAATTTGTCTATTGCAAATAGAAATATAACACAAGTAGGATTATACTTAAAAATGAACTTCATTTTAGTAGTCAAATAAAAATAAATGTGCATAATTATGCTCGAGAACATGTACCTATATATATATTAGTAAAAGGAACGGAAAGAAATCCTTGTTCATGGGTGCATCGTCAAACACAGTCTCAAAATAACAAACGACGTGTATTAAGCTAAGACTATGCTCATTACGCCAGTAAAAGACATAGAATCCATCCGGGGACTTAGTTCGCTTTTTTAAGAGAGCATAAAGAAATCTTTTAATTTATCTTCTTTCAAGAGCGTATTAAACATAAAAGTACGCATAAAATGTTCAAAAAGACCGAAAGCATAACTCCCTGAGATGAGGCGATCGCCGGAGAAGGATTTTCAAGAGCATCTGTTAAATCTTTTAAAACGGCAGGTCCGGTTTGAAATAAGCTTTTATGCGATAACTTTTCGTATCAGAAGGAAAGTGACAGAAGAAAATCATCAAAAACTCTCACCTGATATTTTTCCAACACCTCCCAATCCAGTGTAAGATCCTGAGATCCCGGTACTCGTATCCTCGTCGTCATCGTCGTCGTACATCGTCGCCGGTGAGCCCTGGATCTGAATCTCTTGACGAATTTCCCTCTCTATCGCGAGACAGCCGCCTACAATTGAAAGAGGCGGGGGCGGCGGCGACTAGATTTAGGGTTTTCGTTCAGATCTAACCCTAATCTCTCCTCCGGATTGGAAAAAAATACATCGGAGGAAAAGTCGACTCAGCTGCCTTTCTTCACATGGAGGTCCTTCACAATGAATAAATAAATGTGCACGAGTGATGTTTGGTCCTTCACAATGAATAAATAAATGTGCATGAGTGATGTTTGGTCCTTCACAATGAATAAATAAATGTGCACGAGTGATGTTTTCACCCGCAGTAGGGGCCGTTTGGTTCTTCGGGCCCGTTTGGTTGTATGTTTTTACCATGTAAAAGGATGGAAAGTGTAAAAAAGTGGGTCCCAATGTCAGTTTTCATCATTTTCAATTGTTTGTTCGTAGTTGTGAAAATAGTGTAAAGTGATTTCATATGCTAATGTAGCTTGTAAAGTGATTTCATAAAAAAAGACATGATTTTAGGAGAAAGCTGACATTGAAGTCTGGAAAAAATAATTCCAACCAATATGATTATTTGAGTAGGGACCACTTTTTACACTTTCCAAACAAACAATTAAAGTTTTATTTTGCAAACCAAACAAGTGTTTTATGATTCCAATGGAATCAAAAACAAACAAAGAAAAGTATAAAAGTGAAATTGATGAGGTGGACAACAACTTTCCAAGTTGTGTCATAAGGGGCTGTTTGGTTCGCTATTATAAGGGGTGGAAAACTCAGAAAACCTCTCCACGTCAGATTTTTAGCCCTCCACGTCAGCATTTTTGTTTCCGTCCATTTCTTTGTGCCGCTTTGGTTCGCTCGAATGGAAGAGGGAAAACTCTGCTGAAATCGCCGCCAACTAAGATTTTTTTTCCCTCTCCGATTTCCTTCCCCAACCAAGTGAAATTGATAAAAACTCTGCCACGTCATATTTTTTTCCTTCTCTACTTTGTTTACAAAAGTTTTCCTTTTTTTCTATGCGAACCAAACACAAGAAAAATAAATACATTGGTTTCCCACCATTTTTTATGTGCGAACCAAAGCAAAACAATCTATTTCTTGGAAAAGTTTGGAAAACTCAAAACTTGTGTTTCTTTACATGGAATTGCATTTCTCTATATCAAGGAAACGAACCAAACAGCCCCTAAATACACAACTTTACCAACAATAACCAAACAGCCCCTTGTTGGTAAAATTATGTATTTATGACACAATTTGGAAAGTTGTTGTCCACCTCATCAATTTTACTTTTTTATTTTTCTTTGTTTGTTTTTGATTCCATTGGAATCATAAATTGCTTGTTTGGTTTGTAAATGTAACTTTATTCCATTGGAATCATAAATTGCTTGTTTGGTTTGTAAATGTAACTTTAATTGTTTGTTTGGAAAGTGTAAAACTTGTTTGGTTTGTAAATGTAACTTTAATTGTTTGTTTGGAAAGTGTAAAAAGTGGTCCCTGCTCAAATGATCATATTGGTTGAAATTATTTTTTATTATTTTTTCCTATCCCTACTCAAATGATCATATTGGTTAGAATTATTTTTTTATTATTTTTTTATTTCTTCAATGTCAATTTTCTCCTAAAATCATGTCTTTTTTTATGAAATTACTTTACATGCCACATCAGCATATGAAATCACTTTACACTATTTTCACAACAACAAACAAACAATTGAAAGTGATGAAAGCTGACATTGGGACCCACTTTTTTGCACTTTCCATCCTTTTACATGGTAAAAACATACAACCAAACAGCCCCTAGGAAGCTTTTTACAGTGTTTCTACATTTTTTATTTATTATTTTTTCGTGGGTCTCTGATGTCCCTTTTATTTATTACTAGTTGGATTGCACGTGCAATGCACGTGGTAAATTTTTTATTATTTATTATAAATTTATAATTTTATTTAGGGAAATATTTATTATTAAATTATTGAATGTAAGCAATGGATCAAACATATAGACATAAGCTAAAAATTCAACGTTTGAATAATAAAATTACATTTATTGATTGATTGGGTGATAATACACTGGTCGCATCTATAATGTGATCGATCAATCAATTATTGTCATAAGAATATACGTAAAAGTAATGTTTGGTGATGTAGATGTAAATCCAAGCTCATGACATTAGAGTTTGACTAAGCCTTTGCAATACCTAATGTGTGAGTACATATATTCACACATAAAAATTTCAAAATCTCATATAAATTCCAAAACACTCATTAAGCTTTGTCCTTCCCTTTAAATATCACCTCTTATCTTTAGCATTATTTGCATTAAACCACCCCATTTTATGCTGAAGATCCACAAGAGAATCACTTACTACCTTTGCCTTTGAACTCTTTTTTAAGTCAACAAACTTTAAGGGTACTTTTTTTATACTTTTAAATTTATAGATTTTCAAAGTCTCATTTGTATCTTTGATTTTTTTTTTTTTTTTTTTTTTTTTCA